AAACCGTTCTCCTTGGAGGTCCAGTAAGTGCCATCTTTTCTTGGTTTTGTTTTAGTATAGGAGGAACCCTTAAAACTAAACTAACTTTATTTTTACTGGATAACAGTGGCCATACACACACTTATATAAATCTGGATGAAAACAGTACCTCCGTAGAACAGTTTCGAACCGATACAGTTATTTAGTGTAAGTATAAAGTTAGTTTATATAGTGTTGTTTACATGTATTTTCTCCTCGACTTACGTGGAAAATCGGTGATTAGTTTCTGCCACCATACTGTTATTCTTGTTGTTGTGTTCGGCAATCTCCTCCTGGATGCTGTGATAGTGTGAGTAGAGATTACGTATTGCGATGACAAATGCCAGAAAAATGGCGCCAAAAAATAGAAGGAATTTTAAAACATCTTGAAGCATACGAAATAGTGATAGCTGTAATGGACCAATAACATGATTGACCTAAAATTTGATAAAGAAACAAATTAAGTTTGATATACAGAGGTGGGAGGAAGCATTGTTTTATTTGTTTGCGCAAATAATATTTTCTAGCCATGTTTCCCAAAGGCGGGCAAACCAGGAAACATTGTTTTCTAAACATGTTTCCTGAAGGTGAAATTTGATAAAGAAATAAATCAAATTTGATTTATGGAGATGGAAGAAGCATTTTATTTGCTTTCGCAAACAATGTTCCCTAGCCATGTTTCTAGCTGGGTAAACTAGGAAAAAATATTTTCTAGCCAAGAAATAGTCATCAGTATATAAACTGCAAATCCAGAAATGTTCCAAGGATATATTTAAATATTCGTTTTTTGTCAAAGCTGCAAAAGACAGCAATGAAAGGCAAATATTGCAACAATAGACACTGTGGACGAATTCAAACTGAGTGAATTAATAAAACATTTCGATTAAACTTTTTATAATATAAGGATTGTTTCTTAAATTTATTGTATTTTTGATAAGTATTTAACTATATTTGTATATATCTTAAGGTTATTTATAGTAGTTATAATTGTTCTATATATTTAAAGTTTTTTCGTTCACTGCAACCAGGTATATCAATCATGTTTCGCTCGCTACTCTGGTTTAAATAAATGATTACAAAGCCCATCAGTCGAATTGTAATCAAGACCCAACGTTTCGACACTCCAGTCTAGTGTCTTCATCAGGGGTGATCTAAAATTACAATCGTGGCTTCTTAAATACCCAAGGGATGACGTCACCTGCCAATGAATGCATCCAGAGGAATATATGCATCTCATTGGCAGGTGACGTCATCCCTTGGGTATTTAAGAAGCCACGAATGCAAGTTTAGATCACCCCTGATGAAGGCACTAGACTGGAGTGTCGAAACGCTGGGTCTTGATTACAATTCGACTGGGCTTTGTAATCATTTATTTAAACCAGAATAGCGAGCGAAACATGATTGTCCTATATAGTTGGTGTGAAGCCGTATAGGCTTTATCGACTTTATTACAATGACGATGATGATATCGTTGTGACTTTACCTGACATAACTCGAACAAATAAAAGACACTGGCAACGATAGCCATTGAGAAACAACTGTTGCCCACAAACAAGAATTGATAGCCAACTTTGGACTCGGCAAATTGAGGCAGAGAATAATTCACCACTGGCAACCTTCCTATAATAGCAACGCCTACTATCCAGGACAGCCCAGCCAGAACCAACAATGTTAACATTATTGCTGTGACACCGTTCCACCAATTGAAGATATATTTAAATCCATCCTTAGAAATTTTGATACCCTCTTGAAACATCATGCCAAATACCGTGATGAATATCAGATATTCTGAAAAATGAAGTGAAAAAGTTTAGTGGTCTGATTTAAACTATCTGGACGGAATATCCGTTTGGACGAATTTGGGAAATGAAAAATGGTTTATCTGGTATAAATGCACCGAACGGCTGGACCACCCATCAAGATAAACACTATCATCGTTCTACTGAGATCCGAGATTTTGTGAGTAGGTCATCTTAATCGTGCATCAGTAGAGGGTAATTGTCAAAGTAGTGTTTAATATAAAACAAATCTGACGGTAAACACAACAAGGATTACAGAAAATAGAGGACAGGAATTTGAGCAGCTGATTCCAGGCCTGTTTGCCCAGGCATCTTCAGGCAATATTTTACCTATAACTGTCGCACCACGGGTATCTCTGAGCGCTGAGGCAGCGATCAAGCACTGGAACATAATAAACTGCGAAATATGACTGATGAACTTGAAATAAGGAGTTTTCATCATTTTTGATACCGTATTGTCTGGAGTCACGATATAAAATAACACCAGGAGAGGGAATATGACGGTGTAAAGGAGAAATAGGGGAACTTTGTATTTGAAGGGCATTCCGTAGATCTTTCTGGGCACGCCAGAGTAGACTGCGGTGTTTAGGAGTTGTTGGTTGAGTGGATGTGCTACAAACTAAAGAAGAAGAAAAAAATAGTTTAGCCTTGAGACAAGTAAGGAATATTGGTGCAGATGCATTTGTACTTCCGCCAGGGGGGGGGGGGTATGTTTTCATCCGAGTTTGTGTGTGTGTTTGTCTGTCAGCATGATAACTTGAAAAATATCAAACGTATTAATACAAAAAATTATAGAATTAATGGACGTTGCCAGATTGGCAAACCAGGAAACATTGTTTCCTAGTTATGTTTCCCAAAGGTGAGCAAACCATTGTTTCCTAGCCATGTTTCCCAAAGGTGGACAGATCAGGAAACATTGTTTCCTAGTCGTGTTTCCCAAAGGTGGGCAAACCAGGAAACATTTATCACTTATTTACTGAGACCGAGTAAAACAGTGTGTTTTGTGGACCCGAGACCGTCAATGTTTCTCGAGGCGAAGCCGAGGCCGAGCTAAACATCGAGGGTCCACACAACACACTGCTTTCCCGAGGTCTCAGTAAATAAGTGTTTTATTATATATCAATAGTCAAAGAAACAACAAATTAAAGAACAAGTGAACGTAAATACATGAAATATTTTATTGTTAAAACGCTATATTAAACACTGGCTACACTGCAGTTACATTATATAGCGAAAGTTTTAATTACGTATACTAGGCATGTCCAAAGGTCGCATCTTCACGTGATGGCGCACGTGATTTTTTTATTCGCCGGTCGATAACGGTTTGTTTCCCTCTCGCGCTGTTGCGAGGTTGTCGCTCTCACGTGATATGCTCCCAACCAATAAAACACTAGAAAAATGCGACTTTGACTATTGATATATAATAATGTTTCTTAACTATCATTCCCAAAGGTGGACAAAGCAGGAAACATCGCTTCTAGCCATGTTTCCCAAAGGTGGGCAAACCAGGAAACATTGTTTCCTAGCCATGTTTCCCAAAGATTGTCAAATTGTTTCCGTTGGATTCGCTACAATTCAATCAACTGCACGTACACCTACCTCTATATGGCCGCTTTTGACCGCTGTCCTCAATTTCTTTACCACGCAATCTCGATTTCCTCCATTCAATCTCTTGTCACGACAGTCGTGAATAAGCTTATCTTCGTCAATGTCCAGAAGACTGGCAATTTCGTTCATGCTTTGACAGCCATTGTATAAATCTGTCGCAAATCTCTTGCATCTTTCGGAAATTTTAAGATATTCTTTCTTTAATTCTGGCTCGTGCGAGGCTCGCTCTCGTACTTTCGTGTTCAAGTCAAAAGCTCGAGTCAACGGATCGTCATTGCTTCCCTCTGTCTTTAAGTACCTTTAAGATTAAGTACAAAGCAGTCATTTTTAAGTTGACGCAGTGGTCTTGAAATACAGTTCACGTTATACGAATGACTATTTCATATTACACCAGTTTTCACAATTACGCGACCAAGCCGAAATTAGCTACATGCAGTTGACATGTTTTATGTTGCACGGTGACGAAATTCAAATTGTTTACAACTTTGAGTTTGTGGTTCGTTATCGATGTATGTGTTTGTATGCTTTATATAAGAAAGTGTATTTTCAAGATACAACAAAATATATATTACTGATTTGATACAGTTAAATTCGGGATTATATATATATATATATATATATATATATATATATATATATATATATATATATATATATATATATATATATATATATATATATATATATATAAATAAAGTTGAAGATTTGTAATCCAGGCATTTTATTAATTGAATAATTCTACAAATTATTTTGTTCTCTTGATTGTAATTTAAATATTTTGAGCTTTCGACTCGGTACATCGAGCCTTTATCAGAAAGTTGGATTCCAACTTTAATACTTATTAAAGGCCTTTACGGCATGAAACTCGGAGTAGCAACAAAAACATTTTAAGTATTAATAAATCGCTCTATTTTGTAATATTGAGCACTCTTCACTATACATATACGTTCGAAGAAACTGAATTAGATAGAGCGTAATATAGTTTACCTGCATAAAAAAACCACAACAGTCTGTTTCATCCGTATTGGAATCATCATGCAGGTGGTCCACCTGATGATTCCTATACGGATGAAATAGACTGTTGTGGTTTTTGAGGTAAAACAGAAAACTATATATACATATATATATATATATATCTTTCGAGACGGTAGTGATTTCCTTTGTTTGAAGAAATAAGACTTACCTTAAACACATATAAACAGGGTTTGAAAGACCCCTGAAGCGATTTATTGCGATTTGTGATCGAAACATATGTGATTTCTCCTCGCACTCTTTTTCGCAAGCGCATTCACAACCATGCGGCTCTTCAATCACACAATTATTCTGAATAAAAAAATCCACTATATCATAATGGCCCAATTGAGCGGCCAGAATAATTGGTGTAATATAACTATCTTTCGAAATTTCAATGTCGCCTGGTTTATTTGCGAGTAATATTTTAACACATTCCAGGTCGTTTTCGATAATGCATTGCAATAAAGCATTCTTTAAGTTCGCCTTTTTAGCCAAAAGCTCTTTCATGATTTCAAAGTTGCTATTCTTGGCCGCAATCTGTAACGCAGTTTCGCCATCAGAATTCATGGCATTTATATTCACAGGGTTGTTGGTGTCATCAAGTTTGCTTTTCACCAAATCAATGTTGCCACTTTTGACAGCATCGAAAAATTCGGCTACGTTTGATGCCGGTTTCTCAGAAATCCTTCCGTGCAATCGTCTCTTGTCGGTCTCGATGTTGCTGTCGGGAGCCGTTGGAAAGCTCATGTTGTTCGAGTAGTGTGTCAACTGTGCAAAAACAATATCTAATATAGTTGTGCCTCAACTATGCAACAACAATCTCAAATACCGAGAAATCATATATTATTAATGATAATATTATTCAATGTTGACAAGTAAAAATTAGCACTTTTTTGTTATGACTGCATTGTAATAATACTTTGCGAAACTCTCTTATAGCGTTCCCTATAACTATACTTAGCATGGCTTTCAGAAAAGAATGAAAACGTACTACATGTCAATAATGAATGGCTACTGGTCGCGTTTGCAGATTTTTTGTTTTCGACAGTTCTCCCTTGCAATAGTATGGAAAGTATGGCAAGGATGAACATGGTATGCTTGTTTTACCCATACTGCTTGTAAATTATATATCGTTGAATACTTTGAAAATCTTGCATATAGTTTGCATTTGTTATTAAATTCCTAATATTTATATTTCTGAAAGATTATTATTTGCAAACATTGTTTGTCTTCATTTCTGTGACTTTCGAGTTTCATTTTGATCAAGCTCGCTCTTTCAGGAAATTTCAGGAAGATCCAGGGAAATGAAGGATTTTAACTCAATGTATACTTCGTTCTTGAGATATTTGACGTTCGATATGCAAATTATCACGACTATGACGTCACATTTCATAATGGCTTTCTGAGAAAATTTCAAGATCTTGGGATAGCGTGCATTGTGTAATCATAAAACCGTTCATATGTGTTTTGTCAACATATATGTTATGTGTTGTCAAATATATGTTATGTGTTGTCATACAAATATATGTTATGTGTTGTCAAATCTGAATCAATTACGTATAAAAGTTATAAACGTTTTTTCAGAAAGTCATTATGCAATGATTTCCAACTAGTGATGGTGGGGGTCACATCTGAACCTCGCAATCACAATAGTGTAGTATTTGTTCTTCATGTTTTATGTGGTGTAAAGGCTTGTAAAATCAGTATATTACGTAAAATCAAAATCTGTAGTATGTCGTGTTTTAGTGCCAGCTGGATGGATTTAGTATGCGATTCTAGTTCTGTTCTCCAATTCTTCAATCATAGCTGTATGTGTATTTTTTATATAATATGATTGTAAAGTTAATAAAAAATAGAATAACAATTAAAAAAAAAATTGGCGTCGTATAGTGAGGATAATTTGTTTATCAAACATTGTTAAATATCTCAAGAAAAAAACAGGCTAAGAGAGTTTGGTAAAGTGTCTTATTAGTGATTTTGAACTTTTTTTGCTATCCACGCAGTTATAAAAAAATATTGTGAAATTTCGTTGCATAAACACTTTAAAGTCTTAGTTCAAAATATCTGTATTTGATAAACCATGTTTGTTTTTGGCCTATGTTTGAAAAAGACTAAAAGTTTTATTGTCATGATATACGTTTTACCTCAACATTCCATGTCATCATGTGTAAATTGTTGAAAGATTAGAGGTAATATTTGAAATCCGACTATGAGGACTGGACTAGATTTCAAGTCCGCGCAATTTGAGTCCGGGGCGAAGCCGAGGACTGGATCAAAATTCGAGGATTTGAAATCTTGTCCAGTCCGAATTGGAGGATTTGAAATGACATCTCATGCGAATAGATCACTATTTAAAAATTAATTTTGATCCAGTCCAAGGACTGAATTAAATTTGATCCAGTCGTAGGACTGGATCAATGTACTTCATCAGGTATCCAGCATTATCATGTGAGCAAAATAAAGCAGTATATGGTTGGCTAATTTACTCATGAATTATTAATGAGTTTGAGATCATATTGTCAGAACCATCCTCAGAGATATGGAAAAACTAGTTTCATGTTATTCTGCAGACTTCAACGAAAAATTCGTTGTCTTGAGCGGCATTTGAACTCGCATATAATGAACCTAGTTTTTCATATATCCGAGGATGGTTCAGAAATAGAATTGAAACACTGCTCGTCCTCCAAGACAAAATTTTACGTGCACTTAAATCGGATAGGACTCGCTACCAATCTCCGTTGACTCGATAATACATTGTAATGCATTGATGTAATACTTATTGCAATCGTATTACAAATTACAATGTAACAATCGTATGATACAACAAACACAACATTAATAACCTTATCGTAAAGCCCGGATGACATCAGCAATTCTGTTTGGCGATTTTTCTCCACCTGGCGGATGTGATTGAATGCGTGAAATGCAAAATACTTCGAAATGTATACTTCAGAAAAGCTATTCCATATTTTTAGCTGCGAGTTCACTCATTCGTATCTGTCAGGAAGAGAAATCCCCGACAAAATCGCTAGTGTGAACCAGGCTTAAAGAATCTTCATAGTCATAATAATCTAGAACTTGTCACTAAAGGTTGTTCAAGTTTTGCTATATCAATGGACATCAATCTTGCATCAAATTGCCCTACATGGATACTATAGTTTGTTTTATATTGCATTAATATATTTGCAGCTACAACTATTGATCAAAACGTCAGCGAATGTTTCTTGTTGGTAAAACAGTTGCAATAGGGAGACCTCTAATATCATTCATGGCAGGAAGATATCTCCAGGAGTAACCTCCCAAAGTGAAAGCTTCAACAGATCGTACACGACCGGTGGTCTTTCCCCGTCCACCCATCACAACAATTGTATTGCCTGTAATGACAGCAGCACAGCCAGATCTTTCTTCTAACATAGATGGCAATTGAGTGGTGGTGCCCGTTTTAGAATTGTACATATAAACCTTTCTTGATTGGCCATCCTGATCAAAACCTCCAAACAAAATAGCTTGATCCCCCCAACGAACGGCCGCCATACTATGTACGGCACAGGGCAGTGCAGGCATTGCTTTAAATTCATTTGTGTTGATATCAAACTCTAGCACACTATCAAGTAAACTGTTATTGGTAGCACTCTGTCCTCCCCAAATCAAGACTTTATGCTCAAACGCAACCACAGTGTAATCTTTCCGTGCTGGTTCAGGGATTTTACACAACTGCTTACATGTGTAAGATACAGTAAGATAAAGTTCTGCGCAATAATCAGTCTTACCGCATGCGCAGAACAGAACTGCTCGGTTCTGGTAAACCACGGAGCGGAGGGTTCTACAGCCGTAGGGAACGTTGGCAACTGATTCACCCCATTGCAGCCGACATTCGTTCAAATGTAATACCTCGATTGCATCACTATCACATCCGCCAGCGACAAATAATTGATTCTCATAAACAAACGACGTTGCTGCTACACGACCAACGTTCATTGAGGACACTCTTTCCCAGACATTCTTCTTCCACGAAAATCTCTCGACAGATTTCAAACGATTGCCATCCCTGTCCCAACCCCCAGCTACCAAGACGTCCTCCATTAAGGTATTTGATGCGTGGTTGATAGCAGACGAAATTTGAATGGTGTTTTCGAGGAAGCGTAATTTTTCAAACATTTGGACCATCAGTCCCTTCACGTCGTCTACATCTTCTTTGGATGCAAGGCCTTCCATTTTCTCTTTCATGACTTCCATTCCTTCAATTTTCTCGTTTATTGCTTTCATATCTTGCTCTAATTTCTTACAAGAATGACACTTGACTTTCCTGAACTCGCATACCGTGCTCTCGTGATGAATAATCTCTCGCTTATTAACCACCATTTGACATTCTTCGTTCGAGCATTTCATCGGCGCAAAGCCGCAGTTCTCGACGTGAGAATCCAGCTCTTCCAGACGAATGTACTCCTGGCAACCTCGAGTAGAATAATTGCACTTTATCTTGAGTTCAGATAAATAATTGCTCAACACACGCGGGGCTCGACGAAGTGTTTCGACAGTCAAGTCCTCGTTACATTCTGGACAAGTATGCGAGTTCACAGTTAAATGTTCAGTAATACAGCCACGACAAAATATGTGTTCATTATTTCTACACATCATTTGTTCCTTCAGAACATTGTAGCAGATAGAGCAATGAAAGTGGGCATCGACAGCTTTCTCAAAACGACTATCTTCGTAGCCATATTTCTCTTCCGACGGGCAACAAGCCATTCTCGACTGAAGACACGAATCTAAGCAGTTCTGTTGCCCTACATATCTTCTATATTAGTTTCCCCATAGTCCAATTTTCTTTAATACTGAATCTTTTCTGACTTTAACGAAATCTTTTACTGTGTATCTTCACATAATTGGGTTTCTCGAGCCAGAACAAACAACTCTTTCGTGTCTCGTTAAGCTACAGGTAGTTTCGTTTTGTGATACGTACTATTTTACATACGATTGCAAGCAAGCAATGAATTGGCACGGGGTCACGATCTCTACAGACTTTTCTATAGTAATCAATATTGGAACCAGCCCAACATTTAGAAAATAAAATATATAACAAAGGGAGAAAGAGAAAATGTTGAAGCTGGAGTCATGGATCAATAAAATTACAAGACGAAAAATTTAAATGATTATACATCGATTCCATTCCACTATGAGATGTATTTGCAACGTAAAATATACTCTTTACAGTAAACTTCGATCTGTCGTCCGCACTTTGTATCATCTAATAGCTGTTAATCATGGCGCATCTGATAGCTATTAATCATTGCGTTAGCAGTAGGAGGGCGACTAGTAGCCTGCGCGCAGTCTCAATCCGAATTTTTTTTAAAATTGGGTATGAGGCTGCAGGTGAATGCCAATATCGTACAAATATAATCGCTTGATTCGCTGAGAATTTCTTTAATCAGTTCTACAACAAGTTGAATTGTGGACCAAATTTATTCAGAAATAATGAGTCATCCTGCTTTGTAACAACCTGTAGGGACTAAGAAATGGTTAAGCTTAGGACTAATGTGGGATTGATTATAAACTCTAGAATTATTTTTCACGATTATTTTAACAGCAACCAGGTGAAATTGCCAATAGGATTTTAACACATGGTATCTTCTCTTTACAAATTGCGTACATTGGTACTTTCACAGAGAGCGTTCCAATTGCTTCAACCGCGCAGGAGAAGTCCTCCCGAAATTTCGTTCAAATTTCGTTTCAGATTTTCGGGTGGGGGGTGCGAGCAAGCTAGTATTTTCAGTTTCTGCAAAAAGTATTAGTTCTGACGGTATAACTAGAATTTGCTATAACAAGTTGAATGCTCTCTTGTAAATGTTTGGAATAATGAGTCACGGTGCTTTACAGATGAAAAATAATTTCTTTTTGGAACGGACGTCAGTATAACACAATGATATAAATTCTTATTATTTCCGTGCGAAAAACTCCTACAAATAAGAAGACCTGCATGGGAATTACAGTAACCGTACTTGGCTGTAAATTAATAGCAGTTTTGGAACTGGCTTTTTTCTATTTCGTCCAAAATCTTTATTTTTATATTGAGGCCACGAGCGTTGCCACATATGGTTTGACCACGGTACGTGTGACTCTGATTGTTTTGCAAATATGTTTATTCATAAAATATGTACTCATAAATTATGTAAAATAATACCTGCTTCACGAAACGAAACTAACTTAGCAAGACACAAAGGCGTTGCCGTTTGACAACTGAGTGATACATTGTTAGTCCCGCAAGTCATGTGAAGATTTGCAGTAAAAGATTTCGTGAGGTTAAAATAAAGTCGGGATTCAAGAACATATGACCAGGATCATTGAACACAAGTATAAAAGATATGTAAGCCAACAGACTTCTTAGATTTATGTCTTCAGTCAGAATGGCTTGTTGCCCAACGGAAGAGAAATATGGCTACGAAGATAGTCGTTTTGAGAAAGCTGTCGATGCCCACTTTCATTGCTCTATTTGCTACAATGTTCTGAAGGAACCAATGATGTGTAGAAATAATGAACACATATTTTGTCGTGGCTGCATCACTGAACATTTAACTGTGAACTCGCATACTTGCCCAGAATGTAACGAGGACTTGACTGTCGAAACACTTCGCCGTGTACCGCGTTTGGTTAGCAATTATTTATCAGAACGTAAGATAAATTGCGATTATTCTAACCGAGGTTGTCAAGAGTTTATTCGTTTGGAAGACCTGGATTCTCACGTGGAGAATTGTGATTTTGCGCCGGTGAAGTGCTCGAACGAGGAATGCGGAATGGTGGTCAATAAGCAAGAAATTATTCAACACGAGACCACAGTATGCGAGTACAGGAAAGTCAAGTGTCATAACTGTGTGAACATCGAGCAAGATATGAAAGCAATAAAAGAGAAAATGGAAGGAATGGAAGCGATGAAAGAGAAGATAGAAGGCCTCGCATCCAAGGAAGATGTAAAGTCACTGATGGTCCAGATGTTTGAGAAATTACGCTTCCTCGAAAACACCGTTCAAATTTCATCTGCAATCAACCACGCATCGAATGCCTTAATGGAAGACATCTTGATAGCTGGGGGCTGCGACAGGGATGATAATGCTTTGAAATCTGTCGAGAGATTTTCGTGGAAGAATAATGTCTGGGAAAGGTTGTCTTCAATGACCGTTGGTCGCAAAGGAGCAACGTCGTTTGTCTACGAGAATCAAGTATTTGTCGCTGGCGGATGTGACAGCAATGTAATTGAGGTATTAGATTTGGACTCTGATTTGAACGAAGGTCTGTTGCAGTGGAATGAATTTATGGCCACATTGCTCCACCATTGTAAATATCTCCGCTCTGTTGTTTATCGGCATCGTGCAGTTCTATTTTGCGCATGCAAAAAGACTGATTATTGCGCAGAACTTTGTCTTGCTGCACCTAACACGTGTAAACAGTTGTGTAAAATGCCTGAACCAGCAAGGAAACATTATAGGGTGGTTGCATTTGAGCACAAAGTCTTGATTTTTGGAGGACGAAGCATTTCCAATCACCATATACTTGACAGTGTGTTAGAGTTAAATCTCAGTACGAATCAATTTAAAGTTATGCCTTCATTGCCTTATGCTCTTGAAAATATGGCAGCCGTTCGGTGGGGGGATCAAGCAGTTTTGATCGGAGGTTTTAGTAAGTTTGCCAGCAACACAAAGAAAGTTTTCATGTATGATTCCAAAACGGGAAAAACCACTCAATTGCCACCTACGTTACAAGAAAGAGCTGGCTGTGCTGCAGTTATTACAGGTAGTACAATCGTTTTGATGGGCGGAAAGGGAAGGTCTGACCGCGTTAGATCTGTTGAAGCCTTCACTTTGGGAAGTTATTCTTGGAGATATCTTCCTGTCATGAATGACGCTAGAAGTGTCGCAACTGCAACTGTTTTACCAACGAAAAACTTCCATTGATGTGTATTAGTGCAACTTTTGTAATATATATCATATGTACAATGCAACATTTTGCAATGGTGTGATTACTGTGATATAGTATATACAATAGTGCTAACTAACTTGGTATAAATGACAATTAAAAAAAATTCATCAATAATATATAGGCTATACTTTACATGCTTCATACCCAGGCGCTATGTTGACCCAGATTTTAAATGCGAATATCCCAGACCACAGAGTAAATACCATACAGACTACAGAGATCTCACTTATTAATTTCAGCGTAAGGGATTTCCAGTACGCCATGTTCCGTTAGCAGTGCCCTAAAGAGAGGCCGTCACCCCCGTGAAAATATATTGAAATTTAATGTTCCAGGGGGGTGAATGCCTCTCTTTAGGGCACTTGCTAAGAACATGGCCGCCAGATATGCGCAGTAAAAACTACCTTACGTTTTTCTCGCGAAGTGAGACCTCTGTATGGTTAGTACTCTGCCAAGGCGCTTCCCACCGAATTTTCAGTTTTACTCCCTCGCGTGTCGTCCTTCAAGTTAAAAAGAATTTGAACGTTTATCAGTATCGTGCCTTAATTGTGTATAGCTATTACATTGTGAATGGTAGTCTGAGATGATGGCAGTGATGATGATGATAAAGTTTATTTAACCACAGTAAGATTGTGCAATGCATGTGGGTGAAAACGTTTTTGGTGTGACATTGATATTCTTGAACGTTTGTGCTTCACAAAAATGAATAAATTCCACGAAAACTCTTATTTTCAAAATAAATAAAAACCGCATACATTGTTGGTATTTCTTTTTTCATTCGTGGCCGCTGTTGATGATTTGTATAG